GTATCCGAACGAATAACAGTGTCTGTGCCATGTAAGACAGGCGAGTTAGTTGTGTGGACCGTAATTCATATTACTGTCTTTCGTAGATTGCATAATGGGCGTGTGTTCCTGTCGGCACGCTGAAACACTACCCAAAGTCATATCATATGTGAATATACCAGATAATGAGACGATAATCTTCAATTGGTCGATTGAATATGAAAAGGTTATGAACAAGCATAATCATGATGATATATACACAAATAATCACTGGAAATTATATTTAATGTGAGTGTGGTATTATTACAAAGAGCTACTACAAACAAATATTTTTTTTTAAATTATTTATTTATTTTTTTTTGATATACCAACATTTTAACATTCACAGCATCAGCGAACAAACAAATCCTTCACTGTCGTGGGGTGGTCGCCTCTTACCCATCACAGAGCATTTGTATTCCATAAAAAATGCAACACATCTTAATACCAAGGGCACAATGAAAGGTGTCTTTAAAATACGTATACCAAAAGAAAAGCAATTAGTTGCCAATACTGTGCTCAAAGTTCGCTCATATATAATAGACGATTTGCAATGCGGCGGTCCAGAGTATTTCTCAAATGTTACAGGTATGTTACAATTTCCTGCAGGGATGGTAGATATTTACTCTTTTATTATTATTTGTGTTTACTTCGCAGTTCCTGACTTTTTAAAAGCTGAAGAAAATGTTGAAGCTGCTGACTTCGATTTGGTAAGTAAAATATCGTAAAATAAATTCTAGAAAAGAGCTTAAAAAAGTTCATATACTACAAGTATTCTGAAAAATTACCAAAAGGTTCCAATACATTCCAAACAGACAAACAGCACTTAAATGGCTTTAAAAATGTGCCGAGAAGCATTTTTTCTTAATACCACTCCAGTTGATTTGCGATATGTTTTCAAACTAAAACAGTGAAGCTATGAGTTCTTCAGGAAGAACCTTCATATTAATAGAAAAGCTTAAACAAATATTATCCTTAATTTTATCTGAATCGAAATTTGCAAAAAGTTGGCAACCCCAACTAGTTCATGCATATAAAAATCGTAAATACTTCCATTCACTGTGTCCATTTGTCTCATGTTTTAACTGTTGTCATGCTTCGAAAAGAGGTTTAAGGAAATATTTTGAAATAGTTTCCAAAATATTTGGATTCTTATTTCATATATGGTATATATACATATTTATGTTATTTTCTCTACAGGGCATTGCCTTAATTATTCTCAGTGCGCTTTTTCTCTGCATCGTCGTTTTGGCCTTGACATTTTGCTGTTGGAAACGTAATAAAATTGCCAAATTCCATAACGGTGTTCTACAAAAGGAAGAACATTGTCTGGCACCATTTTCCACAATGGTCGAGTAAGTATGCTTTGAGCTTTAATTATTTGATTTCGAATATATATAACTGATTTTTAAATGCATTAAAATTATAATCATTTATTAAAAAGAAAGTGTTGAGTTGCCAAGGTTTGGTTTTTATGCATTTGTATTTCAAAAATTTTTTTTTTATTGTTTTTAGAATGGAAGACAACATCAATTACGTCGATAAGTATGTTGAGGTGAGTAATACTGGATAATATCTCATAATAAGTCTGATTTTATGTCCCTCATAGCCTGAAACCCCTCAAAATATTAATAATAACTGGCAGACTCATGGTCTCCTCCCCAAAAGTATATAGCGATATTAAAAGTATTTTTATTTTTTAATATTCAACCAGATTCGTTTAGGTAAATCAGTTAATCTTGAAAACAACAAAATATCTTTTTTTATACCCCGAACAGGGTATATTAAGTTTGCCACTAAGTTTGTAACACCCAAAAGGAAACGCCAGAGACCCTACAAAGTATATACATACAAGTATTAGGGTGAAGCGAAAAAAGATTTTTTTTTGCTTAGACTTAGGGTAAAATCTGTAGATTATAAAACAAGAAAATTTTTGGACAAAAAAAAAATTTTTAACATCTAGAGGCGACCCACTCAGTTTTAAAGTAAATTTCGAGTTAAAATTTTTTTTGGACAAAAAAAATTATTTTTGAACCCCATTTACACATTTATATAAAAATTACCGAATGTGACGGTTTTTGACATAAAATTTATTTTAACACTTAAGGAAAACATGTTGTCGTTTAAGACTTTTTAAAACTCCAATAATAACCACAAAAAATTTTTTTAAGTCAATAACTTTTAATTTTTATCCACAGCTTCTAGAACAGTTATCAAAAATTTTAACTAGAAACTTTACTTTAAAAGTCAGATGCCTTTAGATGTTAAAAAAAAATTTTCGCTCCACCCTAATACATAAATACTATAATTAATCAGCGTGACGAGTTGGGTCGATTTAGCCATGTCCGTATATATATATGTGAACTAATCCCTTAGTTTTTGAGATATCGACTAGAAATTTCGTTCTTTTCTCACCAAAACGCTGCTCATTCGTCCGTAGCGCCGATATCGGAACACTAAAGCATCTAGCTGCCATATATACTGAACGATCGGAATCAGGTGTTTGTATGGAAAGCTTTTTTATTTGACGAGATATCTTCAAGAAATTTGGCGTAAATTAGTGTCTAAAGAAATTATGCAATATTCGAAGAAATTGTTCAGATCGGCCCACTATAACATATTGCTGCCGTATAAACTGACCGATCAAAATCAATATAATGATCTTTTTATACTCCTTTATGCTATTAAAAATGCGCCTGTGAAGGCTATTATAGCTCCGGTGCAGCCGAAGTTAAACTTTTTTCTTGTTTTATATAAAATCTAAATCTAAATGATGAATTACAGCATATTTTTAAAAAAATAAATGTTTTAGATTAAGTTTTTAAAAGAAAAGTCGCTCTTGTTTCTTTCCCTAGGAAGCACAAGCGAAAGGCTTGGCTGATGTATTCGAAATACCACATACCGCCATACAGATTGGTCCCGAAATTGGCGAAGGGGCATTCGGGCGTGTCTATAAGGCCGTCGCTGTGAACATACGACGAATGCGTGGCAGCACTGTTGTTGCTGTAAAGCAACTGAAAAGTGAGTGCTTTAAAGAAGTTCAATATAAAAAAAAAATGGTAACTAAAAAATATTTTATTTTGCAGAAAATCCAACTTCGGATGAAGTGGGAGAATTTCTAAGTGAAATCGAAATGTTGAAGGGTGTGGGAACACATCACAACATCGTGTGCTTCTTTGGTTGCTGCACCATACGACCGCCATATCTGATGATCATGGAGTTTGTGGGTCGTGGTGATTTGGTAATATTTAAGCATGAATATATTTTTCAGCACAAAATCGCTTAAAAATCATTTTATATTGGACTTGGCAGCTTACTTACCTTCGTACCGTGCGTCAAGGTTCCACAAAATTCAAACCCAACGGCGACGTCGCTTACACAAATCGCAAAACAGCCGAGCAGCCAAAGCCGAAGGTTAAATATATTGAATTAAAATTATCCTCGCAATCGGTGGATAGTGAATATGAGACTGAACGTCAGCCGAAGACATCCGTAGCGGAGAGTGAGTAGCAATGTCTTATTTGAAAAGAAAAAAGTATAAAATTATTTTATAGCGACCTATACGATAGTCGAAGACGAGGACTACAATGAACAATTTGAGTATATTTTGGATCACAAGGAATTGCATAATTTTGCGCTACAAATCGCGAATGGCATGCAATTTCTGGAAGAGCAGGATATCACTCATAGGTAAGGGTATCTCAGGGTTTTTTTTTTATTTGCTATTTAAATATTTATTTAGTTTTCTATATTATATTTTTTTTATTTCAGAGATTTGGCTGCGCGTAATGTACTCATAGACGAACGCAAAACCTTGAAAATTTCAGATTTTGGTCTCTCCCGCCATGGTATTTACACAAATACAAAAACTCGAAAGGTTCGTAAAGCAAATATAAATGTACATATGTATATGTATATATATTTTTGGTGGTTCATTCCAAATTTTCTGGCCGATATGGAAAATAGTTAGAAAAAACGTATATACTTTAAGATTAGAACGTATTCATCTAACTTTTTAGAAGAGTATCTGAGTCGATCTTGTATTTTAGCTATAGTCGGATCACGGTACAGATTAAAAACGCATTATTTCAACCAGATTGGATTATCGATGTTGTTGCTCGGCGAGTTTTTACTAACTTTCATCGTAGTCATATAATTTCGAGTCCAAATATATGGTAATTTCTTTAAGATCCGACCGATCGTGGCACCTGGTTTTTAAGTTATATATCTTAAGGTTAAGAGAAAGCGTATTTTTAACGTAGCCCAATCACGTGAACATTTTCGTTTTGTTTACAAACGAGTTAATAAAATGTACGTATACCTCTTTATAGCTACCACTACGTTGGCTCTCTATTGAAGCGATACGTGACAATATCTATTCGAACAAAAGCGATGTTTGGGCATACGGTGTCGTTCTATGGGAGATCGGCACGCTGGGCGCCTCACCATATCCAACTATCAGCAATCATGAGCTCATACCGTTTTTGCTGTCCGGAAAAAGACTGGAGAAACCTGAAATCTGCACGAAGCAGGTTTACGCCATAATGTTGCAATGTTGGGATGAGAGCGCCGAAAATCGTCCCACCTTCGCCGAACTGTACAATTCATTAAGCCCCAGTGCGGCCTATGTTGATATTAACAGTCTGAGTGATGATTATGTCTTTCCACCAATTTAGTTAGTAAATTTACAATAAGAAAATGTGAGCAAAGAGCATTAAAATAGCTGTAAAATATTCTAAGTTTACACAGAATGTAAATTTGGTGTATGTGTTTGTAAATATGTCGGCTTATGTTTGTATATGTTAAAAGAAAGTAGCGTAAGTTCGTGTAAAATGCTTTTATAAAGTGTTTACTAGATGATTGTAATAAATAGTAGATAAGACAATTATACAATTTGTAGCTGTATACCATAGATTAAGGAAAACCAAACAAACGCTTTGGCGAGAGAAAATATAGGTGTGTTGAAGAAATAAAAATTGGAATATATTTTAAATGACAAAATATATATATTTAAATATGATATGAGATATGCTACGATAACGGCTTTTTCTTAGCTACAAGTCAGTATAGTATTCGGTCATAACAGTAACAGATTCTGTTTCGTAAAATACACGCAGAAGCAGAATATTGAATTTGCTTACTCTTCATAAATAATAAAACATTATATACATACACATGTATGGTATATTTATATTCTCAGTAATTAATTAACCGATTCATTGCTGGAATCATATTCAACTTCGCTTTCCTTCTCATTTTCATAAACAATTTGATTTTTCGTCAGATAGAAGACCTCAGCATTGGCATTTCTTTCAGCCAAAGCGATTTCCTCATTACCCACTAACTGTGAGATTTGCAATTTTATTTTCGCAATCGACAATGGCGGGAATGTGCGCATAGTACTGGCAATAGATTCGAAAAAGATTTGTAAACTGTCATTCTTGGGTAATGTAGACGGCGCTTTCGACGGCTTAGGCGGTGGAGGCTCCACCAAAATTTGACGTTTATTGCTAATTAACTCGGTCGGTGTTGTTTGCTGAATTTCAGCAACGGCACTAGTTCGTTTTCTCACAGTTCGTGGCGTTTCTTCGGGTGGCGCAGTAGGGGTGCGTTCCTTTTTTGTATTAAATACGGCGTGGCGAACCTTAGCGCTGGCAGTGTGCTGCTTTGATGTTCTAGCGTTTGCTTTCACGCTACTAAAATTAAAAAATTAAATATTTATACAATTTTTTTAAATTATATATTTGCAAGAAGGTGTTACTCACGATTTTTTTCGCAGTGAAGTGTCCATTAAGAACATAAGTGATTCGTCTCGTTTAGTAAGTGGCGCGACCGAGCCATTGCCTTTCTTATCTTTAGTTCGCATAAAGTAATCTCGCATAGTGGTCCATTTTCCCTTAACGGCCTCAGCTATAATTCATATGGTAGATTGAATTTTTATATAAGTACATATTTTACCATGCACAAACAAACAATGTATATTAAAATAAATTAGTCAGAAAAAAAGCTGCAAGCAAACGCCTTTGTGGCTGCAGTGGGTCTTTCAAATATCATTTAAAGAAGTTAAGGAAATTAGTTTCTTAACGCAAATAAAACAATAACAAACAACTACTCACATTTAATATCGAGCTGCTCTGCTATTTCAAGCCACAAACGTTGTTTTTTCTCACTATCACGGAATTCTTTGTGACGCTTATTATAAAGAATTTCGTGATTTCTGACGAAATCTATTATTTTCTCCTCGTCTTCAGTAGTAAATTTAATTTTCGTCATAATTTCTAAACAACTTTACAATACAATCAATGCAAATAATTAATATAGCGCTTTATTTCTGTTTATATTGCTGAAATGATAATTTCTGCAGTTAACTTCACTGTAAATGAATTTTCTTTCTGTTGGTGTGCATTCTGTTTCTGTTTCGATTAATAAACAGAGAGCCGTGAAAGTATAAACAGAGAACTGTATTAATTATATTATATTATAATATTTGCCTAACGTTTACTTACTTTACACGCTTTCTGGTCAACTAATTGTTTTATTTATAAACGATATTTTATTATTTATTGATAAAAACAAAAATTTGCTAAGATTTCTTCCTATTTCCATTAAAAGTAAGTAACGACAATAATTTATTATTTAAAAACGTACCGCATCGGTAATTTACGTTCCTTGTTATCAATATGCGTAATTTCAAGGTACGGCAACCCTACCTGGTTATGTTTACGAATGAAGGTAAGCAAGCTAAGTAACAAATTTCACATGTTTTTCTTTAGATTTCCCGGCTGATTGTGTTGGAAATATTTAATTAGAATTTACGTTTAAATTTAAAACGAAAATAAAAAAAACCAAGTTTCTATATGCCAAATGCAATTAGAAACGAGAGATACCTTTCCAGCGAAACGAATTATAGTAAAGCTAATCGAGGGAGCACTGCACCAATACGAACGAAATACGAGCACGGTGGATATAGAGTCAAGTAAGTTTCATGCATGCTTCAAGGGAAATATCAAAAATCTTATTTGTCTCTTGCTTTCTTTAAGGTGTAGAAGTGCACACAAATCATTTATTGCAGCAACTCAAAGCTCTTTTGGGCGATATCCTCGTTGAGGCATTGTGCATTTTGGATGAGCAAAACATAATTGTATACACTAATGAAAGTTGTGCAATTGCCGAGCTACAGATCAAATATCAACAATACAGTAGCTCTATTTGGTTGTTTCCTGGCGTGAACTATTGCAATTGCAAACAGTTCAACGAGCGTGTGTTGGGTTTATCAAGTGAGCTACAGCATTCAAATTCAGACACACAAAGGGAAAACGTGCAGCGGAGTTATACTTGTGCACATGTATTGGCTTTACGTCTCGCACAGCTGTTACGCCCAGTGCCAAGCGCTTACAAAGTGGAACCAGTGACGCAACAACAATTTAAGAATCTGAATGATCGAATGGAATGCAGTTTTTTAGAAATATTTAAAGAAAATTCGGATTGAAAATTAACGAATGCAACATTCAAAGACCCTCTATGAGAAGGGACTCTTAAAGAATCTGAAAATGTTAACGCAACGTCAATATTCGAATTTCAAATTTGTAGCACGTTTGGATCAGACTAAGACATTTTATACAGGCATAAAAGCTTTAAATTTTGAAAATGTAAGTAAAAGAGATTAAAAATCAATTTTATACCTATAATTTAAACATTTAACCTCTTAACAGAATGGCAAATTTCAAATAAGTGAAGAGGGCCTACGTGTGACCGTGGAGGAGGGTAATTGTGTGCAAGCTAATCTTTTTATGACCGCATCATGTTTCGCCGAGTTTCATGTTGTCGACACGGTGACCTTTGGTCTAAACATGAATATCATCTCCGAGTGTTTGGGACTCTTCGCTGGCATACCATGTAGCTTGAAAATGTTCTACAAAGGCGACGGTGCACCATTGGTGCTCGTGCTGCGACCAAACGATGAGCCGGATATATCAGCAGAATGTTCCATCAAAACTACCAACGTCGACGAAGTAATAGATTATAATCTCGATGAAGAGAGTGCCAGTTTAAATGTGGTCTTTGTGCGCGGACCGGCTTTGGCAAATCTCATACAAGAATTAAATAAAGCGGCCGATGAGTTGAGAATAACTTTATCGCCGCGCACGCCGCATTTTAAAATCGAAACATTGGGTGTGATGAAAACTGAGACATTTGTTGAAGTGGCCAAAACTAGTGATATGATTATGTTATTTAATTGCCGTGAAACGACGTCGGCGTGTTATCGCAATACAGAAATGCGTATGACACATAAAGCGCTGGCGGCCGCCACCAAAGTTGCAATCAAAACGGATGCAAGTGGTTTGCTCGAAATGCACTTTATGATGCAATCCGAAGACCAGGCAGAGGTATATGTACAATTCTATATAATGCCGTTGGCGGATATTTAAAATTTTACACATTGTTGTTGTTGTTATAGAGCGTGTACACTTTTTTCAATATGTATTATGAAATTAAGAATTTCTGTGAAATCTAAAAATCGCAAAAATGTTACACTAAGCGAAGAGTTTAAAAATAAATTAAGTTTTAATACCAACATTATACTAATTTTGTTTTTTCTCCTTAATTATTTCACTATTTCTTCTAAAATTGTCAAGGGTTAATAATCCTGCAAAAAGTACGACCGTTCTTTTACATTGTTGTTGTTGTTTGCTACCTGTATTTATGTGTTCTTACGCTAATCACCGTTTAGCAACCGCCATTAGTACCTGCTTGCAGCTTTACTTAAACATAAATTCGCAACTATCATTTCATTTGCACTCGAAGTCTTGTGAAAACTAAACAAAGTTCAAAAATGCTAAAACTAATATTATTTTATCGCGTAATTTTATTATTGACGTGCTGTGTAGCATTTATATTTGCACAGCTAGAGAGCACACCTGACGCAATGGCACAACTTGCCGATTTATTAGGTTTAAGTCAGGCCAGCGCGCGTCTGAAAAGACAACCATCGTTGAGGTGCGTACTCGCAATAACTGATAATTTTTTTTTAATTGAGGAAGAGCTAAAATATAAACAATTTATAATTTATAGCAATTCAGCGGCGAAATTTTTGCTTGAGGTTTACAAAGAACTAAGCGATGAGGATGAAAAGAATTTACCAGAAGTGTTGCAGAATCTACATAAAACGCGACATAGACGTGCGCTCAGCGAAGACAACTTCATAACACCATTCGATCGCAGAGAGATTGAGTTAAGCAACAACATAATCACATTCGCCAGTAGACGTGAGTGCGATATTTTAGTTTTTGAGTTTATTACAGCTATAAGTCTACATTACTCAATGACTTTTCTCTTACAGCCGTGTCGTTGCATGCGATTTCTACACATTTGGGCGACATGCTTATCAATTTTAATTTGAATGACATACCAAACGACTTGGAATTAACACATGCCGCCATACGCCTGTACCAAGATCCACAACTGGGACAATATAGCACGAATGTCGAGTATAATTGCAGCATCGCTGTCTATCAGCCCGTAGGCGTTTCTACGCTACACATTGCAACGATAAACACCACCACCGCATTCAGTGGTTGGCTGGAGTTGAATGTAACAAATGTGCTCAATCAATGGTTACGCTTTCGTACACTTAAGCAGATACTCAACGGCAATGAGTTGCTAGTTGGCGTTACGCTGCATACGCCACACACAAACGCGGCAGTTACGCTCAAATTGCAACAAGTTGCTGCTACAGACGTCGGTTTAGTGCCGGCGCAAATGCAACCGGAACTGCTTGAACTGCAGCCCTTCATTATCGGCTACTTTAATGGTCCCGATTTGATGGCCAAGTTGCAACAGCGCACAAGTCAACAAAACAAGCGTCGCGTGCGTCATGCCGACTCCTTTCGGCAGCAAACAGCGCCACATTTGCCGCACACCATTCATATTAACAAGGAGATCGTTTTTGAGCAACCCAAAGCATGTGAGCGACGCAACTTTACATTGGATTTCAAATATTTGGGCATGGAGAAATCGGTAATTGCACCGAAAACTTTCGAGGCTTTCTACTGTTTTGGCGAGTGCAATTTCCCCTTGGGTACGCCTATGCATAATGCCACTAATCATGCTATTGTGCAGACGCTGATGCATTTGAAGCGCTCAAATCTACCGAAACCATGTTGCGTGCCAGTCAAGTTGGCCTCCATATCCATACTGTACTCGGTCAATGAAGATAGCGTGAATTTGATGCGTTTCTCGCACATTGTCGCCAAGGAGTGTGGTTGCCGTTAAATGTTGACGTGGTTTTAGACATGGTGTGGCAGACGAAATTCAAAATAAGTAATAGTTTTAAATAAAGTAGCATAGTAATTATAACGGCAACATGTAAATACATACATACATATATTTAATTATTGTAAATTTGTTACGTTGAACATAATGAGATTTTGCTTGCTTACATACATAAGTATATACTAAGTGTTAAAATGTAAGTATGTGCGCGCGTGCGTATACAAAAAAAATGTGTTAACAACAACAATTTACTTTGTTCGCTTTTAATTTGTAGTAACTGGGTTGGCTGCAACGAAGTAAGCTTCAGTAAAACTTGTAACGACTTTCAATGGACTCAAATATTACATATTTTTACCATATTGTCAACAGTTTTTGAAGTGTTTTTTTTTTTTTTTTTTTTTTTAAACTCCCTAATGTTTAATAGTATTTATGAGTTTCGTCTTTTTGAATTAAGGTACGTCAGAATTGCACATATAAATTGAACTAAGCTCAAAATAGAACCGAAAATAAACAGAATTTCAGACATAACCTAGAAATGAGCGACCACTGCTGCAGCAATCGTACAGTTTATAACAATTTCCAGCACTATGGTTAGCATCTCAGCACACATTTTATCCAGTCGGACATTTCAATTTCGATAACATTGTCTTGATTGTGATCCTTGCGTTGGAAGTAGTCGAATGCGGCGGTCAAATGCAGCACAGCGGATGCAAAATCGCTTAACCGCAATGTGCCATCCTTTCTTATGTAACGCTGCATCAGACAATTCATGATCTCGGTGCTCAGTTGGAAACCGACATCGTAGAGTGCGTCACGCAAGCGTTCGGCGCGCAAAATACCGGCCTTCTCTTTTGTGTAAATCTTAAAAACACCTTGCCATGACTTCAGATTGACCATGAATGTTTTGAATTGTAGAAAATTTATGCGTCCTGTGCCGGTTTTGTCTTGTAAAGCAATCACCTGACGACATATATCGATATTGGCACACCCTTTGATGTAATCGTTGGGCAAACACGCCTCCAGCAGCTCGTGCAATTCAAAACAGTTAATTGTTTTGTTCTCATCAGCCAATTGCATGAACACTGGCTCATATTGGCAGACATTTTTGATTTTTGTGGTCTCCACCTCGTTCTTCAAAGCTGGAAATGGATCTAACAGCATCATTGTTTGTGTTTCAAGTAGTGAGAGACGCAATGCGGCGGTGCCCAAGAAACGTACGGTGAAGCTGGTCTCCTCGCCGGGCTCATATGTGGTGGGCATGAGCACATATTGACCCACTTCCAGTTGACAACGATAGCTGACGTGTCGCGTATTGCCGTAGTCCGAGTTTAGGAAGCTCACTTGTGTTTTGAAGAAATCCTTTGGCAGGCATTCGCTGAACTTGCCCTTACCGCCATTTACTAAGCCACTTAATTTGTACATTGTAAAGCCGATGACTTTGGGCTCCACAGCTGTATGTTGATTCAACGCAATCACAATTTCCTGCTGCTCTTGTATGTTCAACAATAGCTGTGGATTTATGTGAAAAGATTCGTGATTGCGGCAACCACCTGCAGTGACGCCACGCTTCCATTGGCCCTGAAACATTTTCATTTGCCAGCGCTTTGGGCGTTCTTGCAGCGTTATTTCATCTTTGGCTGTGTCAGCGTCCAGATAAATGCATTCGAGGCTGGTGAATGTTTGTGTGAAGTCCAAAAATGACATCCAGAATTCACCAACATCAAGTTGACCGAAGAGGCGATCACGCTCCTGCACTGAAACGCGTTCCCACGATGCCGAGAGGGCTGACCAATCGCCTTCAAATACAGTATTGTTGTCGAAACCATTGCAAGCGAGTGGATCCTTTAAACGTACCAATTGCACCGCATCGCCCAGCAGTGTCTCTACTTTATCCAGCGAAGAAAGTCTGCGCAAAGCATCAAAAATTTGTGAAATAAATATGCAAAGAATTTAGTTCCAATACTAATATATGTATATGGCTAGTTGTTAGTGCTGATAAGGCAATACTAGTCCACCTACGCACGCGCTCACTCACCTGTAGTTGACATTGAATGCGACACCGTTCGGTAGCCGCTCTGCAGTGCTTTTGTGTTGTCCACTCGCTGTGCCGCCCGTTGCGACAATACACGTCACTATGCAGGTTGTTTCCAGATGTGATTTCAATTGTTGTGGCCGCAACAGATCTGTAGCATTACTGCCCGTCTTAAGTGGTATACACTCTACCACGCCGCCAAGCAGATCGCTGAGACCATCTGAACGTGTGCCATACTTGAGTGCCTCATAAGAGCCGTGCAACTTTGCAATCGCCTTCTCCAGGAGTGATGCCCAATAACAGTGTGATGATTGTGGTTGTAGGAATGCTAAGCGCCCGTTGATGGTGGGCAGCCGATCGTCAACGAGCACCTCCACCCATTCACCACACCACCACAAACGAAAGCGAAATACACCGTGCGCTTTGTCTAGACTCTGATCTGCGGGCACAACGCGATAGAATAGATTGCGCAGCGAATGCAATACGCCCAAGCATGATACCAGCCAACGATCACCCATTTTGCCAGGGATGACGTCAAAATTTTCACCTTCATTCATGAAGCACGCCTGCTGTGCTTCCGCAATCTCTGCAATGCGCCGCCACTGAAATGTGAAGGGCGGTGTTTGATAGTAGAAAACTGATGTTTGCACGGCGGCAAAGTCGGGATCCTCCCATAGGACATTGCGTGCCACACAATCAGCTTTGATACGTTCATATCGTGAGGTCATTGCGTAGCGTTACGGTTACACAAAATCACCTGTTGTCTTCATGCAATTAACAATATGATTGTTACGAGTTGTCTAGCTGTCTACGCCTTACCACCAACACTTGCAATTCGTGTATTGCTGTAGGCTCCGTAATAATTCAATTGGAGCTTAAGCAACAACAATAACATTTATAATATACACTCCCAATTGGCAAGTACTAAGCAGGTGGTTTGCTTGTCACTTACAGCTACACACTATAATTGTTTATTAATGGTTTATGGTCTTGCTGTCACGAAATTGGTAAGAATTCTAATATTCTTGACGCGTACGATTTGTTTTTGGGCTTCTTTTCCGTTGACCTTGTTTGATTGAATTCCACAATCAAGTGGAGTGCGCACATACGACGGATTCACAACAAAGTGAAAGTTGAGACAAAAAATTAATGCAGAAACACAAAAGTTGAAAAGAAAACAAACTGGTGTAAAAGAGTGGGCCAAAAATACGCATGCGCAACTTGTTTAAATGATAAAATAAATGTAGCGAATAAGCAAAGAAACGGAATGTGCAAAATAATAAAAATGAAATAGAAGGAATTGTGAAAAGCGCACAGGGTTGCAATTACGTGTAGCTAAAATAATTTTGCGCTAATAACCAGAGAACGTATATTATACCAGAGAACGTAAACGAATATAAATTTGTCATATCATAGAAATTGAAAACATGAATCTAAATAGGTATGCGAAAGGATTTTTCATTTAGGAATATTCGTTGTGTCTATTTATAGCATTTCGCACATTGTGTGGTGTATTTTTCTTTTTCGAAGTTATATTTTTCGATGTTCCCTCATGTGGAATTACAAATTAGTACTCAAAAAGATTTCAGTTAACATTTGCTCCTTCTCTATTCATTTACGTTCTCTGATTATCTTATATTCAAGTCATCAACCTTATTTAGATGTATGCCTTCGCCGAGAGATGCCTCCATTGACACACTGCGTATTTTATTCCTAGAACACAGTTAACAATACAGTTATTGCTAATTCACACACAACTTTTGCTTCGCTTTGCTTCAGAGGTGTGCGTCGACAGATACTTTCGAGATATCGGTTCGTGCACATTGAGGCGAAGCTACGAAAAATGCTAGGTCTTTCATCTATGGTATATTTACGATAAGTGCTATCCAAATTGTGAGAATAAAACGAGAGGAGCATGAATGGAACCAATTAAATATCTGATTAAAAGGTTATTAAGGTGCCACTGTTGTAGCGTCAGAAAACATGCTTGAAGTAATTTGGAGGAATGCTAGCGAGTTGTCAGTCTATGGGTTCGTTCCGGTTACGTTGACCTGAATGTCTTCAGAACGCAACGAGTGCCTTTTTACTGCTCATCCCATTCCTCCGGACGCGTATTATATTCCCCTTAAGAGTTCTTCAGCGCAAAACTGCCAAAGAACCAAATTCATATGCAAATAAAAAATTTTATACTCCGAATGTCACCACAGAGGAGGTAGTATTGCCATTCTTAACTCCATACCCCTTCGACTCTTCTTCTTTTTTTCTTTCATGTGCATCTAAAAGAAAATTTAATGTGTTCAGCATTTGCATTTCTTGATGCAGCTTAAGGATATAACATGCATATGCTTTACGAGTAAGCGCTAACGGTTGTTTTTGTGCAAGCAAGAGGGGAATGGCGGTGGGAAGAGTCGCCTTGCGTTGCTGTGGGTATGGCCAAGCTGCCACAATGGTCACACAAATCGTCATTACAAATGGCATAAGCAACTATGAGACTGTGTGTGTGTGTGTGTGTGTGAGTATGTGTTTCACAGGATAACGAAAGACACTGTAATGCGACTAAGTGCTGATGGACGAAGGAGTTGTCGTCTTTTCGAGGCAAACGCTAAAGTCGGCTGCAATACATTTCGCCTACAAGTGAGTGCTTTCCGAGTTTTGTGAGGTCAAAAAGGATGCTAAGCACTTTGTAGAGCATGTACCTATATATATAAATATATATGTGTGTGTGTGTGATGTATTTATGTTATTTTATTTGATTTCATTTAAATGTATAGTTGCTTGAAAATGATACACTCGCAAGCACATAAAAAGCAGCATTAAATACATATGTATGTATTTGCATATGTTCGTACGCTTCCGTGTGCTTTACAAATGGACCTGTGATGTAGGATAATGCTGCCGACGCATGTGTGTCCCTCAAAGATAAAAAAGGACCTGAGAGCATTAGTTGCCGCGCCCAGCTGTTGGCTGCTTTGTTTGTGCGCATACGGCAGCTGTGAGTGTGTGTGTGTGTGAGGCAAGTATGTATTTGCTGTAGATATGTGTAAGTATGCAAATAAATCAGCGTTTTGGTGTGCCTGTGTGTTTTCATTTAATGAAATGCGTAAAAGGATGCTGAAATTATTTAAATTTGTCAAAACTTTTCTTTTAACTCCGCCCACCCTTCTCGAAAGGGTTTTTTCCATCTTACTCTACAACATTTTGCTGAAGGTAATATAATATATATATATATATATATAGAAATGTCTGCAGGTACACACATGCATGTGCACTAAAAAGGACACTCTCCACTATCGAAAAGTTAAGCAGCACTTGTTTCGAATTTGTTGTTGTTGTTGCAAA